TCTATAGGCTTTAAATTGTGCTTAGTTATACATAGAATGATCTTTTTAAATAATGTAGATCGTGGATGTTTTAATCGTCCATGCCAGAGAGAAGCATGACTCTCTATAATTGATGATGCAAAATTAAATATAATTGGAGGCCAAATTGCAATTCAATATAAACTATTTTTTGTAGCAAAAGCTTTTTCAACAACTTTATGATTCTTTGCAAAAATCAAAACTTCTTTTCTATTTAAAATAGTGATCGAGAGGTGATAACCATTGCTAAGCACATCTCAGTAGTTAATCAGATTCGAGGTGCTAAGGATGCAAACATCGCATGTTTATATTTTATGATGGAACCTATAGGTAATTTTACCATTGCTGTTCTTTCTTGGAAACAAAATGTATTTGCTCCAGCCATGGTCATCATATTTTTATTTTTTCAAGTTAAAGATTTTTTAATTAAAATTATCTATCCCATAGGATAGTATGTGTTGTTGCAAAATCAATGAGCACATCATTTGATTCATCATTTAAGGTTTTGTCATTCATATAAGCCTCTAAATCATCAACACCAATTGAATCCATGGACGCATCCATTGTATGAACTTCACGAGCCTCAGCTCATAGTTTTTTATTTTTTTAGAATATTTTAATAAAATATTTTAAAGTATGATACACATGTATTAAATATCCAATCATTCCACATTTATAGAAAGAATGCATCTCTGATTTTTATTTTCTACTATAATTAAAAGTAAAACATTTATTCTTTCCATATAGGTAAAAATGGTCATGACTATGACTGCCCTGATCCTTATGAGCACCTTTTCCATATTTATATAATTTTTTTTAGACTTTGAAATATTAAGTGCATGAGATTTTGGAACTGTGGTTTCAATAGGACGAGCTTTCGCATTACACAAGAGTATCTCATTTTGCTTCTTCGCAAGAACCAGATAGGATATGAAATCAAAATGATTCTCAAATTTCATGTTCGTATATTGTTGTACAAGCACAACAGATACAAGAGGAAATATATAGAGAGTTTTTTCAATCATTTCTTCTTTAGAGATGCTTTGTCCACATAATTGTAATTATGAGATAATACTATATATTTCACTATTGAAAGCATTTAAATTTAGAAAATCCTAGACATATAAATGTGTCCAATTATGTTGTGCACGCGGAAGGAAAATGGTCTTTTGATGATCAAACCTAGATTTAAGATTCTTCCAAAGTTCTGTAGGATCTTCCATTTTCAAATATTGATGTTATAATGTAGATACAAGATGACGACAAAAGAAAAGAAGTGCTTTCCAACAATTAGCAAGAAGAATAGAAGTACTTATTATAAGAGATTCTTCAAACATAATGGCATTTGAGAGTTGTTCTGCAAATAAATTTGCTTTTGCTATTTTTGCCCATAATAGATAATTTTTTCCATCCACAGTCAATGGTGGAAATAGAAGAGCTTGAAAATGTTGGGATGTAGTGATAATAGTTGGAACCATAGTAAAAGTAGTTGAAGATATTGAAATACTTATTATAAATAAATTTGTAAAGAAAATATAAGATCAAGTAGAAAAGTTGAGTAAAATGTATCTTAAAATATAAAATCAAATAAAATGATAAAGTTGAACTTGAAATCAAATATATTAATTAATTAATTATTTTTTTATTTTTTTTTGAACAAGGTTGTGGATTGTGGCAGCAAAACAATAGTAATAGGGTGGTAGCAGTAGTAAGCGGCGATGGCAAGGCGGTAGCAATATATAGCATCAACGTTAGCGACATGGGCGACAATATGCAACGTCAACAGTAGCAACAAGGTCAACGGCAAGTAGCAATAGAGGCAGTTGTTTGACAGTAGGCGCGAGGTGCAGTAGAGAGGCAGGACTGAAGCAAGTACTCTAAGCAAGCAAGGCACACAGTGGAGCAAGTGCTTTAAACAAGTAGCTAAAGTAAGACAATTTGGCAAGCACCTAAGGTGTGAGGAGCCAGCAAGAAGTTCAGCAAGATTATAAGTTATACATCAAAGTAATAAAAATCACTTAAGAAGCAAGAGTAGCAACAGGTTTGAAGAATCGAGACTAGAGCAAAAAAATTGTAATAGTATATAGGAGCAAATTGTGTTGATAATGTGTTGAGAATGTTTAGAAAGACACAAGAGTAGTAGTAAATAATACATACACAAGAGAGTCTCTAAGGAGAGAGAGAACTTCACACAAAATCTATTGATCTAGTTGTGTCTTGAATACAAAAGGAGAAGGAGAGAAGATAAATAGTTTCTCTCCACTACATTCCAAATACTATAGCTATAGAATTTATTGTAGACTATAGTAAATATCATGGAAAGCGCCAACTACATTTAATGCTATCAACAATATCAACTTTGGCAACATAGTTTAGAGACATATACACCAATCTGGCTTACACATGGATTGATTCCAAGGCTATTGCTCAGGAAACCACAGGAGATACATATACACTGATCTGGCATATATTCGAATCGCTTCCAGGGCTACTACCCCGGAAACCAGCGGGGTACACCCCGGTATATCTTGGTCCGTGTAATATTATGTAATCGTATGTTCCTTTAAGCCGAAGCAGCATTTTAAACTCTGTGAAATTAAAAGTTAGATGCTATCCCAATGAAAATACAGTAACAATTAAACTTAATCAAATCATAATTAAACCAGCACGTGCACATTAGTGTCATGAAACCCCGTTGCTCGAACCTAAGACTGCGGGAAGAGAAATCGTGCTCTCCGTTCGACAGAAAGAGAGGGAACGACATCTTTCTCTTCCAGCGAAAAAAGTGAAAAGGTAAAGAAACCGTGCCCTCCCTCCGAAAGAAATAGAGCGAAAAGAAACCGGCAATGGAGGAATACGTGCCCAGCTGGTACCTGGTGATAGATGAACAGAAAGCCCGAATGGCTGCCCACGAACTTTGAAACTGCGACTATGCATCCATGTCTGTCGAAACGAATGGATGATGTGAAAGGTCAGAGTGCGAGCTGAGAAACTGTTCAGCGAAATCGAAAGAAAATGTGCTCTGCCTCCGAAAGAAAGAGAGAGGGGCATGGACCGTGGTAGCTGCGTGAACCAGCCGGTGTTGAAGAAGCTAATCTGATATGAGTCGAGATGCGAGAGCAGGGCTTGTTGCCGAATTCCGCGTGGAGATTCGGCAGAGATGCAAAAGTTCTTTGAGCAATGCATGCTTCGCTCGAGACCTTTGAGTAGAAGGGATCCGAACGAGGTTCAGAGTTTTTGCCTACTGTTTCTCTTGTTGACATGAGTGTACTTCCTGGTGCCGCACATGAGGACGTTCAGTATGAATGACGAAGACAAAGTGCTGAATGTGCAGATCGATCCGAACGCCAGGACCTTAACGCTTGCGAGGGGATCCAACAACCCTCGGCAGTGTCTCCATTTGTCGAGGAGTGGACTGGCCTCGATTTGTTTCCATGTGAATGTCCCTCGCCGTGCATGAAATTACGTCACATTCGAAGGGCCTCATTAATTTACGGATCTTCTCTTTCGTAGAGTTCAGCTTGGGATTTAGATTCTTCGCTGATGAACAATAATACCTTCAGGAGTGAACACAATTACAAAGAGGAAAGGTTCACTGATCGGCTGCAAGTAGAATCCCGTGCAACTCGATTATTGCAATAGGAGACAGAGTTTTAGAGAGCGATATGTTTCAGAAGGCGTAATGTATTTTATTAAGAAGTTCCTAATTACACGTTTTTGTGTAGACACAGCTGGTAGGTTGCAGAATCTGGACACCGTAGGTTCTGGAGGCATTGTGTTGTTTGCCCCTTTCATTACTTGAAGTCTGCTTGATTTCAATGTCGATGCTTGATTTCAACCCTCCTCTGTAGAAATTCAGAAGTTCGAATGGAGATTCCGATCCGATAAATGGTTATCCATCTCCTGACTATACCCGATGCTTAAACGAAAAAGTATTGATTGAACATACAACATATCATAACCATTCTTATTTCACTTTTGGGACTGATGTGCACTAAGTTTAGGATTTAGTACATTCAATTATTAAGTACTATATTTTTAAACACAAATGGATTGGTCTATGGAATTTAAAAGGATACACGATGGTAGTTCATTCCAAGGAGACCTTCATCTACATCCAAATGGAAAATCCTTCAAAGTCTAGAAGAAGAACATGCAGTAGGCAACTCTGCATAAAACATGCGACCAATGACGGAGGAGGAAGAGAAGACTTCTGACTTTGAATGAGAGGGAGAGAGATAGTTCAAAGTCACGAGAACGTTGACTAGCAGATGGTCCATGAAGCTACTTGAAAGGCATGGAATGGGTCCCACAACTCCATCACATTGTCAATCCATCATCCTCACATCAATGACTTTCGTCCACTATAGAGAATCGTGCCAATGATCATGGTATGCAGGACTTTCAACCACCCTAAATTTTCTACAAATCCACCAGCAATCTCAGTGTGGACTTGAACAGAACGCTTTTAAATCTCAAAACCCATGAGATGAAGGTTGCCTATTAACCCGACGCAACTGAAGGGAGGATACAATGAAAGGGGAAGCTAGAGATAAGCTGCAGAAGGAGGTGAGCATAGTGGGAAAGGATGAAAGCTAAGCTAACCTTTGAAGGATCAGAGTGGTTTGGGGAGGAGCATCCAAGGACAGCCCAAGTACAGGCCCCTTAGAAACCAGGAAGACCATGAGGAGGAGCCCTGTCACAATAACACTCTGTTGATAGGGCCTGTTGGCATGCCCTGCACTCCAGGAATGACCTGAGTGTACCAGGGTCCTCACTAGCTTTATTGCAGAGCTAGATGAATGACCTGCTCCCGCAAGAAGTTTGAATCCAAACTTCATCCACTGGCCCATCTGTCTACGAACTCCATTCCATTGCCAAATACTTCATCCACGGAGCTGTCCAACAGGGCGGAGTGGGTTACCGACCACAACATGCGCAGGCAGGGTAAAGCTGGCGGGGGGGGGGGGGGGGGGGACAGTGTGTGAGTGACCCGATTTGTCACAGATGCTGAATACGCGAAAATGGCGCATGCTATGGGCATAGACAAGGGCCGACCGAGGAGGCAGAAGTAGAGCGAGAGACAGAGAGAGGGAAAGCGTGAGAGTGCCAGGGCGAGTGGCGCCAACTGAGCTTATCCTATACCTGGGGACTTCTAAATCTACATATCACCAGAGGGGAGAGGTGAGGCCAGGTGAGGTGAAGTCATTCGGTCACGGCGAGACGTTTTCAGATCCCCTGAAGCAACGGCAACACGGAAACAATGGAGGATGAAAGGCGGCCCAGAGGAGAAGGCGTAATGATGAGCTGAAGGACGCGACGTCGTGACAGTCAGACTGAGGCGCAGAGAGGGTATCAGACCCTGCATTAACTCAGCTCCTGGTGCGTCGTCACGAACCCACCAACGTATTTTTACTCCCCCTGCTGCTTCATTACGCGGACTCCGTTGCGGTACCAAAGAGGGCGGCTCATTGGAATCAGGACAGAAGACGAAAGAAGGGCTCTGAAGGGGTGATGCGTGGGTTAATCGTGCTGTTGCAAGTAGACGACGAGGGACGAATCTCCTGTCTCTGAAGCTACCACAGCGGATAGGCGCTGAAGAATGACGAGGATTGCAGGTGCTCTGGGAAGCAAATACTGGGACCCACGGCCATACCACGTTCTTCACATCGGCTCCAAAACACTAGATGCCAGACGTCGTTAGACTGTACCCATCCCCGTCACAGAAACCTCTCACTCCTTTGCGCACATTTCGCTTGCTTAGGTTGCTGTATGTTACCAGCTACCCGATCAGCGTCACGCCCCGTTGGGCACAACTTCGCGCGACCAACCGTTGCTCGCACAGTTCGTCCTCAAGCAGAATTGATTTTCTACCATTACGCTGGGAGATGAGGCGCAATAGCAGGGGCAAGTACACAATGAGGCAGCTGGCATGTTGACTTGATTTGACCGAGGCGCATGTCAAAGAGCGAGCAAGCGAGCGAGCGAGAGCGCTGTGGGAGACTTGCGGTACGTCGCTTCGTCCAGTGAAGGAGAGGCCAGAGGAGCAGCATTACCTTGGTACATGGTGCAACAACGTCTTGTCAGTCTAGGTCGTGTATGGTTCCGAGGGGAGGGGCTCATGTTCATCACAGTTATGCAATATCGACCAGCTTCGTAATTGGATTCCCTATTCATCCCCTCATTGGATGGTGCCTTCCACAGTCTGACCCCTCCGCCTGCTCCTACTATCAGACATCCCGCCTCATCAAGGCTACCAGTCAGTTGCTGCTGCTGCTGCCTAGAGTAGGTTGACGCAGATGGGTTAGCAAAACTAATCTACATGTGAAAGTGCTGGAGAGACACAGAGAGAGAGAGACAGAGACAGAGAGACAGAGACAGAGAGAGGGAAATAGAGAGACACACAGACAGACAGGGATGGTTGCTGCTTGGCGCGAACCTGGGTGGTGCCTGGTATCTAGGCCATTATAACGTTCGACGGGTGTTTCGGTGCTTCCTCTAGTTCCAATAGCCACGGAGCGCACGCTTCGCAACTGCAGCTGGGTAGTTCACCCAGCCAAGCGCGGCCGCGCAGAGAATGGTGTGGTTCTCGCCTTTCGAAATCCAGGCGCTCCCCTTCGCTCCGACGCCGCATGTAGTTGCTGCACACGCAATACGTCCATTGCCGCTGTAACGCCGTAGCATTAGACGCCCAATGTCGCTGTTTGCGGTGGTACCTCGGTTAAGAGGAGAGCGTCTTAAAACATGGCATGAAGTACAGTCAGTGTAGCTATTGCTTGCACGACACGCTGACGCCCCCAGTGCGGTGTCCGCGCCGATAGGAGCGTGGTAAGGGTTGGCCATGGCGGTGATATGAGTGCGGTTGTGAGGTAACGTGTTTGGCCCTTCTGGCAACGGACGCTACAGCAAGCACCTTCTTGTCCCAGCGACGTGGATTGTGGTCAGTGTTCCGGACATCCTCGGTAGGGCGAGGTCACAATCGTGTCCAATGTTTGAATGCGCGTAGGCATCACCATGGGTTGCAGCGAGAGATGCGGGCCGAATGAGAGCGGGACGTGGATGTGGAGTGTTGAATGTGTGGTGAGCTTTGAAGCCTTGGTTTCCGTCATTGAGGTTGCCACATTGTAAGCGTGGTGTCGCCTGGTTTTGCAGGAACACAGGCATGCAGAGATAGAAGAGGTGTGAGTTGTACGGGGAGATGCACGCGACGTCGGGCTTTGGTGCAATGCAATGCGGTTCAGAAGCAGGACGAAAGGTGTGTGGGATCACCCGCTGGAGGCCGGATGTGAATTGATGCCAACAGCGCATCGGACGGAGTTGGAAGTAGCTTAGTATCTGGAGAGGATTGCCATGGATAGACCCGGGTGGGTAGCGGCCCAGCAGCACCACCGGCGGGGGCACAGTATGGGCGGCGGGGTGAGAGAGAAAGACGAAGATCTAGCATTGTTCAAGAACATGGGAAAGCGGGCGGACCAGACACCCTTTCTGTACCCCGGCAGTGGCGACCAGTTCATCGATGCTAACCTATGTAAGTGTAGTTCTTGCACATTGTGCATCCAACCCTGTGGGCGCGTGGGTTCTTCCCGAGCTGGGAGCATTTTGCACTCCTGGAGTCCATTTGGACATCCAGAGAATTGCAAAAGCGGACCTTTACCTGTTGTAGTTATGTTTGTTAGGACGATTCTCAATTTCTATCATCACTTTGAAAGTGACCCCGCGTATCATGACTAGGCAGCGATCACGTTGCCTGTCCCTGTTTTCCATTTTTTGCTGCACCAGCCGCTGCAGCGATGGTCCGGCAGGTTGAGAAGTTTGTTCCCTTACAATCGTGTCAGACCCTCTCCCCTATCCTTGTCTCCTTCAGTGTCTTGTGCTGCACCAAGAAAAAACGGAAGTTCCTGTAGGAGCAGCAATTCTGAGGCGAATGTTTACCTACGCGTTCTTCGAATATGAATACACAGCAGTGAAGTTCCCACATGACGCAGTTACTGGGTTGGAAATTACAGCCACTCTAACTTGGGTTGTGCAATGCAGCTACCAAATTCGGAGGGTTCTCACACCCACACTCGGCCCCGCCGGTGCAGAGGAAAGGCATCGGAGCAGAGTTGCTGAACTCGGATGTCGACAAGACTGACTATGACTGGTGAGAATGCTTGTCCACACCTTCCGACCCATGGTTTGGAGCTGGTGGGAGAATCCCTGCCTTGAGTGGTTGTAGAGGAAGATGGGCTAATTCAGAATGTTGGTATTTGCAGGTTGATGACCCCGCCAGGGACGCCTCTGTTCCCCTCGCTGGATGCAGACTCGCCGGCGCTGCAACAAGGCATGATCGTGAGTCGATCCCTGGCTGCCATCAAAACGTCGCGGGTGAGGCGTGTCTCATTGACCTGATTCCTTCCAAAGTAGAAACAAATGTCGAGCCTGCGTGATAGTGTGCAGCGACGGTCGCGGGTGTGCTCGTCGTTGACAACTTGGTTTGGCGGTGAATTGCAGGTGAGCGCTGGCGGGCGTGGCGATGTGGGCGGCGCAAAAGGGAGTAGAGGCAATCCGAGCCCTGGTCGCAGATCCAGCACTCCTCAGAGCGGGCAAAGCAGCGCAAGCGCAGTGGCAAGATCTCAGAACCAGGCCATGAGCAGAAGTGGCAGCAGCAATCGGCCCGCCACGCCCACAAGATCTTCCACGCCTACCTCGATCAGGGCGTCTCCGAGCAATCGTCCATCGACACCCACACGACAGAACAGCGTGGGTGCGCGGCCCGTGACGCCGTTGGGAGCGAGGCCTGCAACCCCGACCAGGAAGCCTGGCACCCCGAGCTCATCCGCAAGGCCGTCTTCCACGCCCACCCTCCGACGGTCGAGCTCGAGTCCGACGGGGAGCCAAACCCACGGGGGAGTCTCGGCTCGGGGCAATCCTTCCCCGACGAGGAGCACTGCCAGCACTGGAACCAGCGCGCTGCGGGGAGTATCTCCTGTGAGATCCACGAGCAGCCGCGGCGTGTCACCCGTGAGAGGAGTGTCTCCAGCGCCATCGGCTCGGGGGCGGTCGCCGTCGCCCAGCTTGAGGGCTCCGTATCCGGTGGACGCGTCGGACGACATTCCTCCCAATCTTCGGACCACTTCGGAACGCCCCAGCCCTGCGCGAAGTCGTGGAGCCGCGTATGGCGCGAGCCCGGGCGAAGCGCCCGGCAGAAGTGCCAGCCCAGCCCCACCGCAGCGACGAACTGCGTCCCCTGCCAGATCCATTCGAAGCTCGACGTCGGTGAGCCAGACCGTGGACAGGTTGAGCCGAGCCGCGTCGTCGGACAGTGAGAGCAGCTTTGACACGTGCTCTCAGTCGGGTATATCCAGTCATGGGATTCTGACGCCAGACAAAGCCGGGTCCGGGAGGCGGATGTCGTATGGGCGAGGGATTGACGAGCATGGGCGGTCGAGCAGCTTGCAGAAGGCCAGGCGAGGCAGCTCGACGTCGCCGCAGTTCGGGCCTTCGTCATCCAAAAAGTCTCTGGAATCAGCCGCGCGGGTAACGTCTTGGCCTTTCTTGCTGACGTTGGCGTGAAACCATTTCAGGGTGGGTGCTGGCTCCCGTGAAAAGAGAGTGAGAGGTTGCAGTGGCGCTGTTACCCAACAAGGTGGTCTTGCGTTTTGTTCGTTACTAATGCTGTGGTGAACAGGAATACCATCGAGGCCAAGTTGCGGCGTTTCGGCCTCTGATGACCAACAGCTCCATTTCCACATTCTACACCAGCAGGGCAAGCGGGCTGCTTCGGAGGCCACTGACGCCGAGCAGCACGGCAAGCTCCTCCGAGCACGGTGCCACGGTGGCGCATGACAGTGAGGTGGACGACGAGGATGCCGGCAGCCAGTGGAAGGGGTCGATTGGACGGGGATGTGAAGCTCAGTCCCCTCTGCAGCTGTTCGACAAATCTCTGGGCAGCGCGCACGAGAGTGGCACCCTGGATGGGAGCAGCATCGCGGACAACGAGGAAATGAGCAGCTTCTTCAAGAACTCGGAGCTTGCTCTGGAGGTGGAACCGAAGCTGGAGGAACGGGTGGGCAATGCGGAGATCAATTGGTTGTCCAGAGATGAAGCAGAGGATGCGGAGTATCTGTGCTCGGGGGACGTGAAAGACGGCGAGTCTCATCCTGCTTTTGACTCGAGGAATGAGGGCAGCCGGGTTCCGGCGGGGCTGAGCAAGGCGGTAGAGGACGCAGGCAACAGTGGTAATGGAGTCGGGGCGGGTTCTGGTAGCAAGCCAGGCAGTTCATCAGGACTGGAGAAGATCAGGGATAAGTTGAGGCATCTGAAAAGCAGCACTGAGGCCGAGACTGAGGGTGAAGGCGTGGAGCTCGCAGCCACGAGGGCGCATGCTGTGAAATGTGTGCTCGGCAGTTCCACTGATGCGCTCAGTGGTCCGAGAGTCGCAAGTCCGACGGAGGGGTTGGTTCAGCTCAGTGGCGGGGAGGTTGAGGAGGTATGTGTTGTTTGCGGTCTCGGGAAGACTCCGGCAGGTCGTGTTGGAACGTCTGAGAGGTGCGGGTGTCGGTGCGACTCGCTCGCAGGCGGGTCACTGCAATCGCAGGAAGGGGTGTGTTCAAGGCCGTTTAGTGGGGAGGGAGGAAGCGCTAAGGAGGAGAAAACGAGAGGCCCGTCCAGGGCGGTCGACATGGTTTACGGCAAAGAGCGAGACGTGTGGTACATATACCGGCAGTCGTCCGAGAATGGAGTTCCATCAGCAGGGGCGTCGGAAGCAAAGATGGAAGTGGAAGCTCCCGAAGTGCGTGGGATGGAGGCGGATTGGAGGGTCAAACCGTCAGTGAGTGGGGATCAAAGCAGCAGGGGTAGAGACTTCAGCCCCAGTGCGGTGAGTGCACAAGAGAGTTCCCAGGTTGTGAGAGAGGAAATTGTTCCAGCTGTGGTTCCTGTGAGTGGTGATGTTGGGCGTGTGGAGGTAGACAACAGCATTGTGCAGAGCGAGCATGGCACATCGGGTCAGTTTTCGGGTGAGTGTCGCCCCTCGGGTGCGGGTGAGCCGAGGAGCGTGCCTGATGCAGGTGCTGGAGCAGGTGGAGAGGGTGAGGATGTGACGAGAATGGGATATTATCGTCCACAAGCATCAAGAGACGATGCGGGTCCAGGGAGCGAAGGCAAGGCGCGGGGCGGAATGAGTACTGAGATTGCACACGGGGTGAAGGCGTGTGAGCGGGTCATGCAGAGTAACGGCGAAGCAGAGAATGGGAAGCAGAATGGCGTGCACCAGGGCGTGAATGAAAAGTCACGGGATTCCGTTTCTGTCGGCGAGGCATGCAAGCCTGTGGACATGAACCACGGAGTTGTGGAGGTGCCTCGCACGCTAGCACCACAATCCAGCTCGGTGCCGCACCCTGGCAGTGTGGTGAACACCGAATCGTGCGTTTCCGAGTCACCGACAACGCTCCTGATAACCGTGCACACGAGGTCCACAGCAGAAGGTGGTCGCACGGATGTTGGAGCCAGTAGGGATCTGTCCTTGAGCAACAGCCACAGCGGAGCGGCGGCGGCGGCGGCGGATGTTGTGTGGCATGCTGAGTGTGCAGACCCGTATACTCCAGGTAAAGGGAGAACGCGGGTGGCGGTGGATGTAGTGGATATCGTACGTGAGCCAGCTTCGATGAGCACAGAGTCATGCGCTGGGGTGAATAGCAGCGAGGATGCTTCCACTGTAGTCGCGCCCAGCAGCAACAAAGCACGGCGTGAAGACGAAGTGCAATGCAGGGACCAAACAGCGGCACGAGGTGCAGCCTCGGATGAGAGTATGGATGAGCGTGATTGTGCAAGCCATGGGGACGACGATGCTACATTCATCGACATCCCAGTGGCCCCTCGTGAAGAGGTGACTGCGGAGTTGGGGGTTCCTGAAGCGATCTACAAACAAGCGACGCACAGGGGATTGTTGAGCGAGTCACTCCAAGCTGAACCGGTTTCGATCGCAGGGGAGAACCCAAATCTGTTGCGTGTCGAGGAGGTGGGGCGCGTGGACTCGGAGAATCTCATGGTGGAGAAGTACAGGACCAGTGCTGATCATGACGTGTGGAACTCACTGAAGTTCCCTCAGTCGGTGCACCAGTCAGATCGAGAAGCACGCAAGGAGAGGGAGCCGACAGGGGTGAGACGTGATGGACCGGGTGTGCGGAGGTTCGGAAGCGGCGTCCATGCGGGGTGTTTGAGCAAGAGCAGCTCGTCGAAGTCTTCCTTCAGAACCCCGACCTCCGGGAGCAGCATCGACTTGTCACGAAGCACCGACACGACTTCGTCGTGCCCCAGCAATGCATCTTGGGAAGATCCGCAGTACGTGGGGTCCAAATTCTGGGACTCTCGACCAGCTCCAGACGTGGGTCGAGTTTCCGACGCCAGCGAACGTGCAGGTGCAGGTTTGAGAAGTGATTCGACGGCGGAGCAGATGGGTTTGAGCGCGAGAGGTGCAGGATATGAGGCGAGAGTGGGAGAGGTGGCATCTCAGAATGGCGAGGTGCAGCATTGCAAGCGTGAGGGTCCCATTCACGACGCGGATGCGAGGTGTGGGGTTCCCTTCGATGAGGAGGCTTCGGAAGAGCACTTCGACTACATCTTCGAGTACCTGGGGTCGAAGCGGGACCCGAGTCCGAAGTCAGCGGAGGTTTCCGTGGTGTCGAGAGTGGTACCGTCCAGCGCGGCGGAAGAGAGTTCAGGTGAGGGCGGCACGGTGAGGAGCAGCCTTCCAAGCGGGATGAGCGGTGAACGGACGTCGGAGGCGAATGGCGGCGCCATGGTGAGGGGCAAGCACTTGGAGGCGTGGACGGCTTCGAAGAGGGAAAGCGTTGAGGGAAGTGGTGAGAAGTGTATGGTTCCCGGTGTGAGCAGCAGCATTGAGACGAAAGTGGTGACGACACAGGCAGCGTCGAAAGAGGAGATCGTGGAGAGCACCGTGTCGCCAGGGTCGAGCACGCGGAAGCACTTGTCGTCGTTCAAATTCAGCCACAGGAAGTCTGGGGATGCGGAGTTGAAGCGATCGGCCACGTCGAAGCAGGCGAGCGGGAGTGGCAACTCGCAGCAGCAGCTGGATGCGGGCGCCCCGAACGGGAGGAGCAACGGCAAGGCGAATGGGAAAGCAGCAGCCACACCGCCTCACCCGCAGAAGGGGAAGTCGACGAGAGCAGGTACCCCTGGGCGGGCGTCGGGTGCGGATGCGAAAGCCCGGGGCCCGGCGCAGGGTGCAAACGGAGAAGTGGCGGAGGAGCTAAGCATCCAGAGTCGATTTTCCAATATCACAGTGCGTTCTGGCTCCGATCCCGAAAACTTTGATTGGGGCCGTAGTTCTCTAGGTATCTTCTCCATTCGTAACGTAGATGACCCAATTTGCCGACGCCTGAAAATCTGGCACATGAATCTGCTTTGGATGACGAAGTGAGACTCATCCTTGTTCAATGGTGGCACGAGGTATGGGGCGGGGTTTGGATTTCTGATGGGGGGATGGGGGCTTGACGGTGCTTTGGACTTGGATGATGCAGAAGAGACTAGCAGCAGGCGTGGCAGCAGCTCGGGCACAAACACAGCGCCGGTGGCCGTTTTGAGGAGCACGGGTGCGAGTGTCCGGGGCGGAGAAGACCCGGGACACGGGGATGCAGAGCCTTCGCGTGTCAGAGAAGGAGAGGGAGGAGGAGAAGGCGAAGGCGAAGACGAGCAGCAGCCACGGCCGAACCAATTTTGTCCTTCACGGAGGAGCGGCGAGACGAACTCAGAGGCGAGCCCCAGTTTTGAAGGCCCTGCCCTCTGCACATCGGCGCAGGTCGGATCGATGCGTTGTGCAGCGGAGAGCAGGGATCCTGCGGACGCGAATGCCCTGGAACCGGGCGGGTGGACCAACGGCGATCATCTGGACGAGAGATTCTGTCCGGAGAGTGGGGTGGCACATCCCATGCGTCCCATGCGTGGGAGCCTGAACCACGCCCCCAAGCAAAACCTTGACAAACTCAGCGAGAAGCTGGAACAATTAGAAACGTTCGGTGCGCGAGTGGTGTTGCGGAATCCCCAACAGCAGCTCATGCACAGTCCTAGAACAGATAGGAAGCCACCAGCAGGCAGTGGCACACAGGACTGTGGTCGGTCGACGCAATCAGCTCGGGCCGAGAAGTCGTCAAAACAGAGCAAGTGTCGGTGCACGATCATGTGATTCGCTGGCTGTAGTGTGAGAAGTAGTGGATTGTGGTTGCATCTGTTCCGATCGGTGGTGACGGGCTGTGAGGAGCAGGATGTCGTGCGCTGGTTGGACGATGGGAGTGTATCGCTGAATTGAGGCGAAATCCGATGTGGGGAGCAGGGCAGGTGCAGCGACCTGCTCCATGGGCATGTCACCTTGAACTGACGTGATGGGTCCGTGGCGGCGCGGATTTATTTGTGCGACCGTAGTTGAGCTGGGAAGGGTCAATAGCATGCGCATAGATGGAGCACAGGAACAGTTCACAGCAATGGCATGCGGGCTTGAGACAAGAATGGCAGCCAACGATTACTGTAGTGTACCGAGGTTAAACTTGAAAAATATTCATCTCTTGTAGATCTGTGGACATAAAGATCACTTCATCATTGCTTGGCTGAGTATTTTTTTAAAGATGAAGTGGTATTGTAGTTCTTTTTGTTTGATATATAAGTATAAGACTATATTTTTTATGAATTTCATAGCTCTTTATTTATCTTGATAGAATAAATTTTGGTCGATTTATGGAATGTTGTCAAAAATATGAATCTCCAAGACAAAAAACCTCAATACACTCTTGTGTCATTCACAAAGTCTAAAAAATCATTCAAAAAACATTCACTATAGTATTAAACTAGAATGGTTATTGCCAAAAACAAGAAGACTAGAAAGACTTGAAAGAAGACTAAGGATTAGAACTGTATTGATTAGAGTGAAGAAGGTTTCACTTTGGCTTCCATATATACTCTTAATTAAGAGCTATAGAGCAATGTCCTATAAGACCTCCAAAACATGTTTAAAAGCTACTCTAAAAAATATTATGAAATAAATCTATTTTTATCTATTTATATTTAATCATATAAGTAATGAAATAGGACCAATCTATCTCAAGTGTCCAAAATCCTAATAATTCATAGCAACATAAAACTTTATCACAAAGTAAGATTCAAAATAGACTAGAATAAAACTAAACAAAATTTAAATAGAGTGGAACATGAAAGACAAAACTAAGCAATTGGAATTAGAATAGAATAGAAGAAAATAGAAAGAAATAAAACCAAATTTTATTAAGAAGGATCTAAAGTCATACTTGACTAGATACCCCAAAAGGCCTAAGTTAGTCCTATTTATACTTTGTTCTACTATCCTATATTTCCTAAAATGTTCTTAAATAATGGACCCCACTTAAATAACCGATCTAAATTTTATCTAGAAGGTTTCAAAATAGGCTCCACCTAGATAACTATCTTAAGCCATTTCTAGAATATGTGGCAGAAGCTCGAGGCAGTATGCAACATCAAAAATTACTATAGAAATGTAGAAAGATCCAAGCCATTGAGATGTCACTTTATATATTTCGGTTGATGTAGCAAGTGGCAAGTTGGCGTTGAAAAGTAACACCTAATCACCCTCCCGGAAGGTCTTGTGTTGCTAGTGGTTATCTTTATATTATTTTTGTCGATTTTGTGCCATAAAGAGTCGGTGTCATGGTTCTTGTAAGGCCGTTGTAAGTCGTTGTATAAATTCCTCCATTGTCAAGTTGGTGTCAATGGAATGATGGAGAGTTGCTAGTATAATTGGATGCTAACTAGTGTTTAAAGAAATGGTGAATGATTGGTACTTACTTGAATATTATCATTGTAAGCAAACTCTAAGGGCGTCAAATATTTATGCCAATCATTATGATGAACTACTACAAATATCCGTAGCCTATCTTCCAAAGTCTGATTTGTATATTCTATTTGTCTATCTTTTTGGAGTAGAAAGCTATAGACATACCAAGTCGTGTACTTAGTAGCTTAAACAAGGCTTGCCAAAAACTCCTCGTGAAGTATGGATCTTGATGTGAAACAATGACATGAGGTAATTCATGGAGATAAAAGATAGGATCAAAGAAGAGTCGTATAAACCTTGAGGCATCAATATTTAAGCGCACTACTACCAAGTATAATTGCTTCAAGATTCAATCCACAAAGATGGCAATTGTAGTGTCATATTATATGAAGTCTTGTTCGAGAGTGCATTGGACATCTGATTGTAGAAGGTAGAATGGAAATTACAACAACAAAATTTTAATTCTAATAGAATATTAAATAAATTCTAATTAAATTTTAATAATACTAAACAAGTTTTAATTAAATTCAAAAGAAATCTCAAAGAAATTACAAAAGAAACAATAAGAAATCTTAAACAAGTTGAATTTTTTTTTATAATAAACCTTAAAAGAAACCTTAAGAATAATCTTTAATTCAATTTTTTAATGAAGCTAAAACTTATAACATACAATTAAAAGAATTATTTTCATAAGTCATCAAAGATTGAATTATATATCTACTACTAAACTTACAAAATTCTCCAAAACATAATATATTTTTTTTTTTCACAAATTCTAAAATCATCGAAAGCAATTGTGACTTTGCAAAGCTCTTGTAAAGTCATTATATACTCAATTCCTTCAAAATCAACATTTGAAGAAATCCTATCAAGTTTGCTTTCAAATCCTACTCTCCAATCTGTAAAAAAAACCTCCAAGTTGCCATAGGTGCTCGATTTTGTGCCTAAGGATTTGATTTCGACTAAGGTTGATAACTAATCCTCTTTAGGTATCAAATTTTTCCCTTTTGAGTTAATTTTTGTTCCAATCAACTCCTAATTTTTTTCTACATATGTTCATATTCTTTATTTTTTTAATCTACCTTGTTTTGCCTTATTTATGGCTTTACAAAATAAGTAGAAGCCTACTTTATAAAAAGACAACATTTAAACCTTTAATTCTACTTTCTTTTGGACTATTATATATTTTCTAAGATAATTTGCTATAATATTTGAAATAAGATCTTCTATAATATAATAGATTCTTCATCCTTTTCACCTATTAGTCGTACTATATTATGACAATAGTGTTGTGATATAATATAACTATATAGTGAAACTATAATCAAAATTGAATTTCTAATTAATATCTAATTATTTAAGTTCAATAACAATTCAAAATATCTAAACATGGCTTTTATAAAAGCCTCTTAGTTTATTTTCTTATCTTAATAGTTGGTAAGTTAAAGGTTGGTTAGTACTTTTACCTTCTAGGCTATAGAGACTCTTTTATTACTTTAGAAAGACTATAAATTGATAAAATCAGATTAGAAGAAGTAAATAATTAGTATGGTTGATACTAGAGTTAAGTTGAGGATAGGGTTGGACTAAAAAACCCTTAGGATAAGTTAGATTGATACTTGAGGGTCGACCGTTTGTGAGACAGGGTCAAAATCAGACATTTGGCCACTAAAACAACCGCATAGGGTAAAATAGGGTTTTATTTGAAGTTCAGAGTTTAGGATTTGAGAGCTAGGTTGGAGCTTCTTCCAAAGACATAAGGCTAATTTTTGTAGGATATGTTTGAATTTTGTAATTATTGTTCAAAGTCAAGGTTTGTATTTGCAACTTGGAATTTATGCAATGCAATTAAGGCTAGCACTTTTAGCTAGTTTGTAAAATTGGTATCACATCTATAGTTCAAATTTTGATAGTGCTTCGTTAATTAGGTGTGATAAGTGTATGTAAAATTTTGTGATAATCTAATAATGAAAATAGAAGATATTTGGATTTTGGTACAAGAATATACTAGAAGTTGGCCGTTTTTGGCTATGTAGGATTTCTATGATATTTAAAAAACTACTAATCAGATCAAAGTGAAATTTGGCATAGTATTGGAAGACTTAAAGATTAAGCTATACACTAATTTTAAATTGAAGTTAATAGTTAGAAAACGAGAAATCACTATTGGAACATTTGCATCAACTTTCAAGTTGGCAACCAAGTAATATTAGTGTGGTTTTTGGACATTTTCTCACAATCTATAAGTTGGATTGGAATAAATTCTTATTAAAAACATAAAAGATTTATAGTAGCATTTATATGCGATTTTTTTCTCCAAGTGATTGGTTGGAATACAAGCTACAATTTGCTAAAGCTTACTAATTAAGATTAAGACTTACAAAGAAAGTTTGAAATTGCTTAATTATTGAAGTAATAAGTCAATTGGAATTTATGTATGGTTGAAATTACTAAGAAGAGTATTTTTGAGCACTTTGTATTGGATTTAAGTACTTTTGAATTAAAATTCAAATTAAATTCTTCTTGTAAGGGTAAATACATTTTAAGATTTTTGGATATTTGTAAAACATAATTCCACCTTCTATAGTCAGATGCTTGGTGCATTCTCAAATAGGACAATACATAATATGACAACAATGTGATTATAAGCAAGTACAATAAATACATAATAAGATCCATAGTCACCTGCTCTCAATATATCGTAGGATGCAGAACTGGTTGTAATAGTCTACGAGACATTGTGTTGTTGTGATGTAATACGACTATATAGTGAAATTATAATCAAAATTAAATTTCTAATTAATATCTAATTATCTTAGTTCAATTATAATTTGAGGTATCTAAACATGGATTTTATAAAAGCCTCTTAGATTATTTTTTTATCTTAATAGTTAATAGGTTGAAGATTAGTTAATAATTTTACCTTCTAGATTATAGAGACTCTTTTACTACCTTAAAAAGACCATAAATTGATAAAATCAAGATAAAAGAGATAAATGGTTGATATGATTGATACAAGGGTCAAGTTAAGGATAGAATTGGGCTAAAAAATCCTTAGGATAAGTTAGATTGATATCCAAGGGTTGACCATTTATGACATAGGATCGAAATCAGACCTCTACTCACTAAAACGACTGCTGAGGTCAAATTAGGGATTCATTTGAAGATTGAAGGATAGGATTTGAGAGCTAGCTTGAAGTTATTTTCAGATGCATAAAGATTTTTTTTGGAGGATTTTTGAAGACTTAGCAATTGTTGTTCAAAGTCATGATTTGTATCAGTGATTTGGGTTTTATATAATATAATTAGGGCTAGTAATTTTGGCTAGTTTGTACAATTGGTGTAACATCTATAGTTGAAAATTTGATACTATTTGGATTATTAGGTATACTAAGTATATAAAAAATATTGTAATAATCTAACAGTGTAGTTTAGAGATATCTAGTTTTTAGCACAAGAGAGTTTTGGAAGGTGGCAGTTTGAGGTTGGATAGGGTTTCTATGATATGTGAAGATCTATCAGTCGAATTAAAGTAAAAATTGGCATGGTGTTGAAGGACTTGAAGATCAAGCCACACACCAATTTTGAAACAAAGTTAATGGTTGGAAAGGAAAAAAGCACTACTGGGATTTCTGCTTCACTTTTCAAGTTGACGGCCGAGTGATATTAGTGCAAATTTTGGAAGTTTTGTCATAATCTATAAATTAGATTGGGATAAAAATTCTTAAGCATATAGAAGACTTATATTAACAATTGTATGCAAAATTCTACATCAAGTGGATGGTCGGATTGGATGTGACAGCTTATTAAAGCTCACTGATTAGGATTGGGGCTTACAAGAAAAATCTAAATTGCTTAAATATGAAAGTAAC